GATTTAATAGTGTCACGGAGGCAACGTGGTCTCTCTTCATATCTCTTTGCTTCCTATAGAAGTGACACGAGACTGTCAGCACCAAAATTATGATGAATAAACAACACAGTCATCTAGAACTTAAGCTATGTGAAATGCTTTGAACCCAAGCACATGGGATCCAACCTCTTAATATGTCAACCACCATTTGTTTAAATACCTCCGCTAGTAGAATGCCTTAAATCCACCCTTGAATGTATAGAAAATATCCTTATTTAGCTGGTCAACATCTAATGAAATGTTTTCCCTTAAACCCTTGCAAATGTTTCTTAATCAAATCCCATACATGCAATGTTACATTATATAGGTCACGAGTTACACAGGAATCAGTTACATTCTAATCACATTATAGCATTAATTAACGAGTCCAAAATCTTGATCTTTCAGGGAAACAGCAGTCTGTAGTAATAGTCCAGTCATTATTGTATAAGATGTTCAGTTATGAGAGTCCCAGCAAGTCCTTTAGCATCAGCAATGGAATAGCTCAGCAATCGCCACTTTCAGGAATCTTCTTGACGTTTTGAATAACTTCAGTAACAGGACAGACAGGGTCTGGTCATGCATCAGCTTCCCTGCTTTCTTCTGGGCCTTGCTGGCTGAAAAGAAATCCACGTATCTCCTTTGCCTGTGAAAATATAAACAAATAGCCCCTCTCTTCCGGGTGTCATTAACCTGAAAAAGGAATAATAATTAAGATTGAATGACTTCTCCATCTCTTCCTTGTCCATCTTTCTCCAAACGTGGTTGCGTCCTTCTAAAGGGAGTCCATCAGCTTTATTCTGCAAATACATGACAGGGGAACCTGGATCCCAAACGCGGTTTCCTTCATCTTGGAATTTCTTAGGATCAGTTTTCTCTGTAGAAGTGAAAATGTGCTTATCTGTCCTAATTTTGTTACAAGCTTTTAGTAAGGAGAAAAATTTTTTGGTTAAATTGACCAAATGAAATTCATCATACATAAGATTCCTCTTCTCCCCCTTCTGTTTTAACCATGCAGATTTCAAAGCACTGCTGGCAATCTCAGTTAACTTGCTAGGCTTTGACCCAGAATAAGGACTAAGTTAGTTAGCCTTCATTTTATACAATAAAAAAATGCCTTCATTTCTTTTTTGATAACAGTTGTTTCCCTCTTTTGTTTTATTACTTTTAAGAAATGATATCTTAGGGATATCAGGTTGTTTGCCTCTTCTGTTTTTTTCCCCAAGTTCTTTATATATTACAGATATTAATTCTTGGTCTTATAAATTCAAAACATTGTCATCTTACCCTCTCTTCTCCATTTATCTTTTAGTTAATGGTATAATTTTCCATGGCCATTCCTCCCAAGTTTTCTTTTTATGTTACCAAATATATTAATGTTTTTCTTTACTGCTTTAAATCTTGATCCTAAGACTGCTTCCTTACTCATAGGTTACAGAGGAATTTGCTCTTTTTTTGTATATGTAAAAATTTTACAGTTGTACTTTTTAATATTTATAGTAATAATCTATTTGTAAATGTGAAGTTCAGTTTGAGTAGCAGGTACAATTTTATTCACTTTTCTCATATGGCTGTTGGATTATCACAGCAGAACTTATTTTTATCAAATTTGTCTTTTTTCTATTGATATGAGATGCTTTTTAGATGTGATATTTGTGTAAGACATGCAATAGGAATATGACTTAATGTTTTCAAACAGATTATCAGTTTTCTTCTCTAATAAGTTAAATTTCAATATATACACATTTGTTCTGGTCTCTAATATAAATTATTGATTGACTTGGCATGATAATTTTTGTATTTTATCTTTTTGGATATCCATAGATTTATATGATCTTTCGGTATTTGGTAAAATACTAATTGGAATGTTCCAATTCCTGCATTCTTTCTCTTTTTTTTTTCTTTCTGATTTTATAGATGATGCTATCCTTACTAGTTTATTTCATATTATCAGCGTTTATGTTTTTGTGCACCATAGTCTTGTGCATATACCATGAGGGTGCTTAAAAAAATTTCCTGGAGAAATAGAATGAAAACTCCACCACCATGTTGGCACAAACAACTTATCATAGCCTGCCCCTTCACTCAATACCTTCAAGTTGACACAAGATTGATTAACTCCCACAGTGGCTAATTCCTATTCCTTCTTTTGTAGTCCATTCTTAGCCTGGAAGCTCTGCTGAAACTTGTTCACTTTGTGTGACCCTGCTAGTATTTGAAGTACCAGTGACAGAGCTTCCAGCAGCACACATGCCACTATAGTACAACATACTGACAGAAAAGAAATTAAGAGAATTGAGTATTATTTAAGTTGAATAGTCATGTCATATTAGCTATGTTTCATATTTAGTATAAGGGGTTAGAGAGAAAGGTAGGTATTATAAAAAGAAATAAGACATTGTGCCTACCAGTCCAGGTGAGAGAAAAAGACATAAATAATTACAGTAAAGCATGATAAATGTAATATGTTTTGGAGCATAAAGGAGAGTGGCCAGCTCTTCTTTATAGAGTTAAAAATTTACAGACATATTTAAACCTAAATCATGGAAGGTTTTAAATAGAAATATGTTAGACAAATGAGATGAGGCAAAATCATAGAATTGGTTAGAAAACAATGTAAAAAAATTCTTATAATAAAGGTACTGAAACTTGACCACTTAAAACTAAAAACTAAAGTCTTGTAACGGGATTTAAAAACAAGTAGATTAATAAAATAATAATACTTTATATGGAGCTTAGTTCAACTACTCATTTTAGAAATGAGAATTCATAGGGTTTTCTTATGGTCACATTCAAGAGTAACGCAAAAATAATTGCTACAAAATAACAGAAACCTCCATTAAACAAAAATATCAAAATGTAAAGTAGTTATTTGTTGATAGATCCTCATCTGGGTCTGTGTTCTTCTGAAGATAATCTTTTCTTTGCTCTACTCCTTCCCTAAAGAGTTCTGAATCTTTTGATTTACACCATGTCAAAATGGTAGTTTGGGCATCCTTGAGGGACTCAAATCCTGTTCCTTTTCAATGTTTTTGAGTTTGGGGAATAAAAGGAAGTTTGAAAGAGCAAGATCAAGGCTGTAGGGTGGATGGGGTAAGGTTTCCCAACAAAATTCTCATAGGACGGCCCTTGGTACCCTCAAAGAGTATGCTGGTGTTTTGTCGTAATTGGGTGGGTGGGTGGGGAAGGATTCTATCCCAAAGCTCTCCTGGCCTTTTTAAAACCAGTGCAGTTTTAATTTGGAAAACTTCCTAATAAGACCTGTAATTGTCTCATCCCGTGGGGAAAAAAAATATGTCAAGAGTATCCCTTTTAAATTTCCCCAATCACTATTTGACTTGGATTCACAATCAACTGCCATGCAAGTAATAGACAAGAAACCAAATAACTTTTGAAGGAGCTTCAAAGAGTTCATGGAAATTTTTAATTAACAGATAAAGGTAATTTTCCATGAGCTTTTTGAAGTACCTTCATATTGCATTGGACAAAGGTGATACCAAAGGCCTCTGAAAATGGTCTGCCTTACCCCAAGCCATGGCATTTTCAATCACTTCATGTGCAAGGGCACGCAGGACAATGAATACAGAAGATCAGAGAATTGATGAATTTCAATTATGGTGTTGGTGAAGAATATTGAATATACCACAGACCTATAAGAATGAACAAATCTGTCTTGAAAGGAGTACATCTGAATGCACTTTAGAAGAGTGAATAAATAGCTCAACTGCTAATCAAAGGTTTGAGCCCACCAGTTCTATAGGAGAAGATGTGGCAGTCTGACTCCATAAAAATGTATAGCCCTTGACGAAGCCTGACTACCACTAACCATTGTTCTAAAGGGATCACAGTAGAAGGTCCTAGGTAAAATGGGAGGAAGAAGTGAAGCAAAAAAGATAATTGGGGAAAAAAAAAAAAAGACTAGGCTTACTGGTCAAAAAGAGACTATTGGAACCAAGCCCCAAGACTATGGCCCGCCTTTCTCCCTTCCTGGCCATCTTGGCGGCTGCTCTCGGTTGGGGCCATCCCGCACCTAAGACAGGAAGATGGTGGCTGCAAAGAAGATGAAAAAGTCGCTGGAGTCCATCAACTTGAGGCTCCAACTCGTTATGAAAAGTGGGAAGTACGTGCTGGGCTACAAGCAGACGCTGAAGATGATGAGGCAAGACAAAGCGAAACTGGTCATCCTGGCCAACAACTGCCCG